TGTGTGTGTGTGTGTCTGTGTATACATGTGTGTGTGCCTGCTAGCCTCTTCTGGTATTCTAAAAGAAGGAGCACGAGCAAACAGCCGTACACTGTTAAAGCTGATCGGTGGCAACATGAATACATGTTCAAACGCACTTTTATACGTTTTTACAGATTATTTCTCTGAACTTTGACACAACAGCAAACTCCATACTGTGGGTAAAGTGTGGCACATACTAAAGGAGAGACCAACAAAGAAAAAGAGAGAGAAAGAGATGGGGAGAACAACAAATGACTGAGAATAAGTAAGAGGGAGACAGAGTCATAGAGACACAGAGAGAGAGAGAGAGAAAGAGAGAGAGAGCGAACAGGGAGAAAGAGAGAAAGGGTGATTGACGATGCGGTTGTGTAAGACAAACGCTCTTTGTGTTGATCTTCATCAGTCGAGCAGCAGCACTGACTGAAATAGTGTCTGTGTGCGTGAGAGAGAAGAGGGAGTCGTGGGTGATAGAGCGCAATCAGGGCACAAGAGACTGGCTGAGAGAGAGGGAGAGAGAGAGAGCAAGAGAGAGTGATGCTCTCATAAGTTTTTCACCCTGAGGGTTTATCCAAAGTGTTACAGGGAAAAAGACCACCAAACATCAAACGCACTGGACGGAGCAAGGGGAAAATCCCAGTGTTTTTTATAGCAGGTTAATAAAATAAAATAAAAAAAAGTGACATTATTTCCCCCACCCCTTGCTGAATGAGCTGCGTGTACGTGTTTGTGTTAAAGAATGATGGAAATTCAGGAATGCGTCAGGCAGCTTGTCCAGACAGGAGGAGAACTACGTAAAGGAGGAGTCGCCTTCCTCGGTTTCTCCCTCTGTGTCAAAAACAAACCTAAAATTCGGTAGAAAACACCTCCAAACAAGGGACAGCACAGTGAAGTCTCAATATTAACTTGTGTACTGCACACGGACACATTTAAATGCTTTATATGAAACGATGTTACAGCTGTGATGGAGCTGAATCTTGAGCTGACAATCATAGGATAACAGTTAGTGGACATTTTTCAAGGCTGCAAAACATCTTTTAAGTATCTTTTATCTACACTCATGTCCTCGCTAGCTCACTGATATTTGTAACCAAGGACTGGTGCTTGAGCAGTTTAGCAGAAAAGGGTTCAGGGAAAAGACAAGATCCTTTTAGTAGCTGCTCTAGAGCCTTCAATCTTATCAAAAGATTAAATGATTGAAGAATTGTAGAGCTCTACGATTCCATAACAACTGGGCAAACTCCATCTGCTGATCAAGATCATATGATCAAAAGACCCGCGAACAGCTACTAAAATAGAGCTTGTGGTCGTATTGTTCCCTTCAAAAGCCAGTCTTTGGGATTAACAAGTCAAACATACAGTATATTCCACTCGCAAATACCTCCCCATTTCTGGATAGAGAAGGCTCTACGCAAGCAAAATGCTCCCACAGCCACACCCATCCCACAACACAAACACAAATACGCTGAGACATTCTCTGCACTTTTCACACAAAGTCGAACTATAACACGTAATTAAAATAAAATTATTTTTCACAGAGCAGCTGTAGTATATACATTTGGCTCACCCGCTCACAGAGATGGCACGTTGGAGCATCTGTTATTAGGACTGTACTAAAAGTTTCAAAAAATACCTTGCCATGGTCTTTACATTGATGAGAAGAACATTTGCACATTTCAAAACTGTATATTTTACATTTTATATTTTACCTTGTGTATATAGATATATTTATATATACATTTATATATATTGTCTTAAATAATATTTGTTCTTAATATATCAAATATAATATATATATACATTATATATATTTGTTCTTAATATTTGTTCTTATATATACATAATATATATAATATATATAATTACACATTATATATATATATATATATACTATAATATATATCATATATATACACATTATGTATATATATATATATATATAGATATATATACTATTATATTATTATATACATATATTATATATTATCACATATTACACCATTTATATAATATACCATAATATATATATTCATATTATATATAATAATATTATATAATTATATATTATATATATATATATATATAGTACTAGTATAATCTATATATTATTATATATTCTATCTCATATTCTCCCCTGGGATTATTGACAGTATTTCTGATTCTGATTTGATAATTAAGAGATGGTGCGGTGTACACAGCAGTGAATGTAATGTGACTGAAATATTGACCCCTGGAATTACATATACAACCTGTTAAATTACATGTCAAAGAAAAGATATATGTAGTGAAAGGTATATGAGGAGAATGATATGTGGTTATGTTAGAGGGCCATGTAGAGCACTCTGTTAAAAGTTAAACGGGCACAGATTTCTATGTATTTCGCTCCTCATTCAAGAGTAATAACAGCCGCTTGCACGAGTTATTTATCCTTCGGACTCTCGCTGCTCTTTCTGCTCATTATTAAGCGCTTACTGGATTACCAATAGCTCTCGTTGACAGTCTGAAATGTTTATGTCATGTGTGTAGTGGTTACTATGGTTACATTCACCTGAAATAAATCCTGCTTCTGACCCTGATTTGTGGTATGTGGAGAGGTGGGTCAGTGGTGGGGCTGAGGCTTTTTATTAATTTACGTCATTTATCAAGCTTTCAGCTGCCCCAGATTTGCTTTACACCGCTATGGTTTACCAAAAAAGACATCCATCTAAACAAAGATCATCAATATCCATGTCCCCCCACCCGTACCCCCACCCCCAAACCGCCCCAAACACCACCACAAGCGCATCCGGGTTCCCATGACAATAAAGGTGACGCTTCTGTGATTTTCACTCTCGTAGAATCAAGGACAGTTGGCCAGGGAGGAGGATAAATGAAGTATTTGTTGCTCTGAGATGGCTGGTCTTTCCAGGAAGTTACTGCTGCTGCAGGGGGGTCTGGATCAATGACATGACAGGGACTGCAGAGACCGAGTCATTCATTCAGCAAGAAGCAAAGAGGAGCGGGGTGGGAGTCTGGGGCAGGAAGGAGAGCGGGCGAGAGGGAGAGAAAAGTGCAAAGAAGAATGTAAAGAAAGAAAATGGAGGAGATTCTATAAAGATGATTGTGTTAAAATAGAAAAATTAAAGTACTTTTACGATTATTTAAATAAACTAAGTTGTTTTTTATTTTTTTTAGGATTCATGACCACATTTCAGGGAGACGTTGTTATACCATAAGGAGAAATGATTTTGGCATGATGGAAAATTGAATTTTAATGGCCTTTTAAAGGTTTGAAAAAATGTCTTCATTTGAATACCCTCAAGTCTTCAGCAGGAAGGACAAGGAACGTGAAAGGACACTACCAGCTAAAGTGAACTTGGTGAAAAGAAGATACTCTAACATCTGCTTTCTTTCTTTCACAATAAAAGAAAAAAATTATGTTGTTATTATTTGTCAAGCACTCTTGAGCAGGCACAGTCATAATGTGGGAATATTTGTGTTTATTTCTCTAGATATATATGCATGCGTACACATGTTCGTGCCCCACGTGCTGAGCCCTGCATCAGACGACCCTCACACTTCACCAACAGGATGTGATTTTCATAGGGGATGTTTATTATAGGAATTGTATTTTTTTTACTCACAAAGGAATTTCCCTACTCACCACCGTCCAATAAACTCAGATCAAAACGACAGAGAGAGGCAGAGAGAGAGCGAGAGAGAGAACGAGGCAGAGAGAGAGACGGAGAGAGAGAGAGAGAGGAGAGAGAGGAGGAGAAGAGAGAGAAGAGAGAGAGAGAAGAGAGAGAATGAGAGGAGAGAGAGAGGAGACGAGAGAGGAAAGAGAGAGAGAAAAAAAATGAAATGTGTTATCACATTGAAGTGGACAGAAACTGTAATGTCAGGCACAAGTAACTTGTTCACACATTTTTTTTCCCCCCTCAAGGTCGTGACTTGCGTGTTGACCTGAATGCTTGTAAAACAGCATAAAAAGGTCTGACTGTATCTGCTCAAACCACTGAAATCACCTCGTAGGCCAGTGAGAATATTGAAGGCCGCTGTGACAATGGATTTATAACCTTTTATTTCGTTAGATATAACAGATGTGGGATGGTTTTTTTTTTCAAATTGCAAACATGTAGGAGACACAGGAGCGATTTCCCCCACCAATCTTAAGGTTAATTTGGAGGTGGGCTGAGTGGAAACTTTACAGTATACTGGGAAGTTGGAGGGGAGGGAGGGAGGAAGAGGAGGAGTCCAATAATGGTGCTCTATTCTTGTGTTTTGGGGTTATGCTTTGGTTAATGTTTATATAATGAGGGGGCTCACTCGTTTGCTCCTTCACTTTATGCCTGAATGAACATCCACATATTGGATTCATTTTGAATTTAAATGTTTTTAGAAATTTATCACAAAGAATGTAAGCATGGATTTGATTGGTTTTTCATCAACAAAGAGAGGGGGGAAAAAAGCAATTAATTAATGAGAATAACATTAAGTTGATTAGTAAGTATTAATGTTTGTTCAAGCAAGTTGATATATTCTATTATTATTTCATTCCAAGCCAAACAAATCATCAACATAGGGCAGATATTTGTATGTATATGGATTTAAAAGAGTTCCAGTGTTAAAAAATATAAAAAAAATGTTTGGGCCTAATCACTGTCGATAAAAAATGTTGATACTGCAACCTGAAAAAAGTTCCTATTAATGGGTTTTGTCACTCTTATTATTGTTACTTATTGTCATTTACTTACTATCTCATGATCTTTGAGGGCTTTGAGGGTGGAAACAGGAAGTACATCTGCTTATTTTGGTATTTTTGAACAGTTAGAAGTATGCGAATTAGCCATTAGCAGTTCCTGTTTGCACATTGCAAACGTCTACGTCAACGAGACAACTATCGCTGTTTTTAAACCTGATGGTTCTCAGGCAAGTTCTGGAGTTATAGGGAGTCTTTAAGGTTTATTTGTGATGGACATCAGAGGTTATGATTCTCCTGAGAAGTCACACTAAATCTATAAATATGCGTATCATTTCTGTGTGTTTAGATTTGACTGACGTTATAACTCCCATAACACCTTATGTCTCTCCCACCCGTGCCCCCTCTTTGGCTCTGCCGTGCCCCACTGGGGGAGGTGCGCAACACTGTTTGAAAACCTCTGTTGGTTTGCTCGATAATTATTCTGTTATTCTTATATGTGTAATCTCATGATTGTAGAACACAAAGAGAGACGGCAAAACAAGAAGATCACGATAGACTTTTTAGAGTTTTACAGGCATCCAAAGCAGCTCAGTATTTATCACTGACAGATAATTCATTGGATTTTCCCATTTGTGTCTGTCTTTTCTAATTCAGTTCATTAAAATTTAAAGTAGGATACTTAAAGACCAGGAAAAGCTGTACTTACGCTGACTTTGAACGCCTGGACAGTGTTGTCCAGCAGCAGTACGTTGCACACAACCTGTGTGTGCTGCCTGTCTCGCTCCAGCTCTGTCGCCCGGACATTGTAGGATCTGCCAGCAGGCAAGCGGAAGCGCGCGCTCATCACGCTCCTACCAGGGTCTGCAACAAGCCAACACACAGCAGAGAGGAGAAAATTAAGAGTGAGAGCAACAAAAGGTGAAACCGCAAACACACAGTGGGATCACAATGCTTATAACGTACATATAATGTATGTACTGTACAATTTACAGGTGTGTTAAGGTGAGCCACTGGAAAAGTCACTCTATAAAAAAAGAATACACTAAGCCAACGCACAGTGCGACATGATGCACTTAGTGAAGGCAGCCACACAGTAAGGCAAGCCTGTACAAGCAGGACGAAGCAGCAAAGACTGACTGCTTCATGAGAAAAGAATGTCAATGAGAAGGCAAGGTTCCCTACCAGGGGATGTGGAAACTAACCATCAGCACAGCACTAAAACTTCCAAGCTTCCACAAAATGCAATAAAATGAGAAAACCAAAGAGCGTAAAATATTTGCAACCCTCCTGTTGCATTATTTCAAAATGTGACCATGTTTGATCTTCAGTAGCAGGGAATAATTCAAGTTAAAGGTGAGTGAAATATGCATATAGAGTCCTTTCAGCTGTCTGGTTTGATTCGTAGAAGCACAGAACAGGTGCACTCGTGTGACCTTCATCTATTCAGAATTGATCAACAATTTGAATTTGATCATTCCATCATTAACATGCCTGGCAGGGGTGGCTGTAGTGATTGGTTGGTAAATGATGGCAGTGCAAACAGTGGCTGAGGGTGCCCTGTCTGCTCATCAGTGGGAATAAATAACAATAATTCAATCTGAAGCTGCTCCATTTAGAGCAAACCAAAGCCTGTTATAACCGAAACCACGTCTGACTGCTTTCCTTGTCTTCGTAAATTGGTCAAACTGGTCACATGTGGCTCGAATCCAAGTTTACACAGATTAAATCAAATGGGCTTTTATACTTTGCAGTATATCTTCAATCTGAAGCCTGACAATGAAGAATGATCTCTTTTTTACAGAAGAAATTATAAACTTTATTTACTGTTTCCCAGTCCTGGCCTATCACACATTCACTGGTATTGGCATATACTCTGTATTAACATTTAATTTACATTTATTTACACTTATTTTGACAATTTATGTTGGGTATATATTTTATTTATTCCTGAAAGGAATAGTTCTGCATTTTTTTACTAATTGCCTAACAGCGATTTAGAGTGGCAGGAAGTTACTGCGCCTGGCAAACAAAAAGTCTGGCACATAACCCACCCTAACACCACATTGTGTTGTTTTTTGTACAAGCTAAACAAACAAAGATATATTTAATCAGTGAACTTTAGAGGTGCTGTTAGGCAGATTTTGTTACCTTTGAACAGAGCCAGGCAAGCTGTATTCTTTCTTATTAGCTTACAATTAATATTAGTATAACATGTTGTCAGGATTATAGGTAAACGTAAAAAATATTGTTTATCATAAGAAGCTGGCCACTTGCTCTCAACCAAAAAAAGTTCAGAAGCAAATTCTTTGTGACAAATAGCTCCATCAGAGACACCATGTGCACTGAGAGGTTCACATGCCAGCTCTTTCTGTTTTTGTGTAGTTGCAGCAGTGTTTTCATCTTTTAGACTTTGTTGGGGAACATATGCCATTGCAGTGGGATTTGTGCCCTCCCTGTCTACCTCCTGCTTTTTTTATTCTTGGGTGATCTATCTTGACAGGAGACATAATAACCCCACATGGGTCATGGTCCCGTCATCCGGAGCTGCTGTATTTGTAACGATGGCTCTGTGTGAGCGTATCTGTGTGTATACAGAGCATATATGGAGGGCTCTCTGCGTGCCTGAGCTGCTTGTCACTACACATCAGCACAAACCTCCCATGACCACTGGCAGATGGTGTGCACACTGTGTATGTACCCACACATATATATATAGCTATGTGTGAGGCCACTGCTAACAGCAGCAACAGCCCGCCTTCTCACCTCCAGACATTGAAGCTACACACAAAAACACGAGATACATCTTTAACAGGTGGTTTTTTTGCACAGTCGATTATTTCTTGTATGTGTTGTGTGATTGTCTCTTTAACACGTTATTCTCACTCAACAAAATATGAAGGAGGAAACTTCCAGAAAGCACAGTAACAGTCTTTATTTAGGAGGACTTTCTGAAGCAGTCATGAGGAAAACATGGGACATGTATTATGCATAACTGTGTATTTTATTGAAACATCTCTATAAGTTTAATATTCATAACTTTGAAGTACTATTTTGAAGTAATCTGTGAAAACCAATACTTTCTACTCATTTCTCAACATTTTTTTTATGTTTTACATAACATCTTTTTAAAAGGAGCGCCGGTTTTACACATCCATGTTTTATAACTGTACTTCTTATCATGAGAAAATGGTGCTACATCTGTGGCTTTACAGCAGTTTGGAAAAAATAAAACGTCACCAGGGTTATCTCGGGTTGGGGGTTACATTTTTACTAGAAGGTTTGTAGTGTTTTTCACCTCAGAGCGCCGCCTCGTCTGAAATTAATAACCGCCCCCGCTAATGTCAGAAGAAGCTCCTATTGTTGTGAAATACTGCATTAGCCTACACAGGAAAAGAGCAGAGGTGCGACATCACGCTGCATATGTAATGTCTGAGTCAATTATTTATGTCATCATTTAGTAACTATGCTGATTACAACATGAGATGCATTACTATCGGTCTGATTCAGCTCAGCAGGTGCTTACCACCTACACTAACAACTGACTGCCATGTGTAACAAACCAGGAGCACAGAGTTTGAAAGATGTGGGCATTTATCAGGAAGGGAGGGCCCAACAAAGAGATCCCACTGAGCGTATACTGACAGCCAGCAGGTAATATCCAACCAGACGTGGCAATGGTCAACCTGGTGAGATCAATATATCCTGACTGCCAACAGAACCACACACACACAATCAGGCAGATATGCAAAAGTACAGGCGGACATATAGCCAGACAAATGCACGCAAGCGTACGCACACTAATGTCAGCCGCAACACTGTCAGCTTGGGAAACGAAGCGAATGGACCAGCGACATGAGCAGAGAGGAACGCAGAGATGAAGCCATGCAGAGGGAAGGAAGGAAGGAAGTAGGGAAGGAAGGAAGGAAGGACGCTCCCCTATCAGTGGCTCACACTGTGGAAGAGCAACGGGATACACAGATGATGAGGAGGTCTGACACGCAGACTCTCTCTCCACAGGCTGGCTCGTCCTCCACGCTGTCTTCCTGTCCTAACATTTTTCTACCATCCAGCTGAAGACAATTTAAAGAGCACGGACCGCAGTACTGACTCATCTCTGTAGTGTGCAACCATTTAACCCGCCCCCCCATAAAATAACACCGCTGTTATGTACATAAAAAAGAAATCCTGGGTTGAAGCAATTTTGGAAAGCACTAATGGTCAGCCCCCAAATATTAATTAAGATTAACGATTATGATCATTTTTGCATCAACATTTTCCATTTCCACTGAAGTAACTATTAAAATCATGACGATTTGTTGAGGTCTGTAGTACCACACAAACATCTGGAGAACACGATTTGTAAACCAGGGCCTCTCTGCAGCACTACAGTACTTCAGTGCAAGGCTGTTTGTGTCACATTTAACCTTTTTCAAACAAATTGCAGCTTCTGAGCTTTGGACTAATTGTGCAGCCCTATACACACACACACACACACACACATCATAATATTGATATCGTGAAAATAGCCCAGGCTTGTTATAGGGTTATAAGAAACTCCTCGTTTGGTCTACACGTCTACAAACTAAAACTGTGAGCACTCTTTTCCTCAGTTTCTTTGTTCTGTTGAATTTTTTATTTTACTTTTTACTTTGTTTTGTTCAACAGTCTGTCTGCTCCAGTGAAAGGGATTTACTCTGCCCTTCTACATACCAATGCCATTTGTTTTCTCATTTATACTGTTTTGTTCATCTTTAATTTGCCGTAATTTATTTGACTTTTTTCTTATTATTTTCGGTTTTGTCCCACTCTACTGTATTGTTAACTTTCCTATTGGACTTTTTTCTATTCTACTCGATTCTGTTCTCAATGTTCTATAATTTTCTGCTCTGTTGTGTTTTCAGTTTTGCTCTGCTGAGCTGGACAGGGCAGCCACACTCCCCTGAGAGAAGCCTCCGGATCTCCGGAAGCACGCTAACATTATTGCTTCCTGCAGTCAGCAGAGCTTACAAACAGGCAGGAGTGTGTATGTGTGTCTTGACCCTAAAGCTTCACTCAGTGGTGGGCTCCTCCGACTCTCTCAGCTTATTGCAAACACAGACGATCCCGGAGCCTTCCTGTCTATACACAGGAATACACGCCCTTCATATAAACACACATTTGAATGCACCCCACTGCAACACATTAACACACAAAGGAGAGAAACGCGCGTTATTTAACATCAAAAATGGGTTGGTGTATTAGCTCAAGTGAATTGGGACAAACACGACAAAAAAAATTTGCATAACATTACCTACTGAACTATGATTCTCCCCTCTATTTCTTATTTATACCTACAGAACTAAAGTCTTCAAAAGGAAAAATGTTACACAACAGTCAGCGTCCTTTCCCAGTACGAATATGAGCCGACTACTGAACTTCTTTTGGCCCCGAACATTTCTATTTATACCCCCAATTTCTTCAAAAGAAACTCAAAAGACGTGCTGCGTATGGGTTTTCTGTCCCCTTTGTGTTGGTTCAGAACAACTGAAATAAGAGGCTAGCAGTTAGGAATCCCAAAGGAATTGTACATTGCACAGTGTTTCATAATGCGTAAACTAGGCCACAGACAAACAGGTGGTCAATTACAGATGTGTGTGTGTGTGTGTGTGTGTGTATGTGGTGTGTATTGTTGTGTGTGCACAACTTGTGACTGCTGTGAGTTTTCAATAGATGATAGAAAACAAATTATAGAGCTGATAGATATGTCTCTCTTTCTGAAATAAGAACAGAGAAATGAAACACGCACTGTACACAGAGCGGAGGTCTGTATTGGCAGGACACAGGCTCAAACCTCACCTGACCAGATGTTAGATTTGACCCGTTCT